GTCAATATCAACTGAGATACTAGACTCCATGCCCTAATTGCCGGAAAAATATCGCTGTCATTTTCTTTTCTCAGTTAGTTCTGTGATCTCTCAACTGTTGTCAGCATGTTTATTTGAAGTCTGCTGTACTGTAGGGCGACCAGAAATCCATATGATCGCAGCAAGATAGCTGGAGGCTCTTCTAGCGGATCTGCTGCAGTGGTGGCTTCCGGATTATGCCCTGTTGCTCTTGGTGTTGATGGAGGAGGTAACTTATTTCTCTCATGGAAGAAGTTCAAGTTGTAATATAATTTTCATTTATCACATTAATTATCATCGATAACGTCATTTTAATAACGTTGTGAGAGAAGAGCAAAAGGGTCCATCTTTAGGTAGAACCAGAAGGTGAAAGGAGAGCAGAGTTAACACAATGGAGTAGGGAAATTTGGAAAACTTATGTCCTCATGCCTGCATGTGTGTTTGTGTGTTGGAGATAAATACGTATCGTGCTGGAACTGAACAGTGTATTTCATTTGTAACATATGATTAGGATCTGTACGGATGCCTGCATCTCTTTGCGGTGTTGTTGGTTTTAAACCAACCTTTGGGCGAGTACTTCATTCGGGGTAATTAGTTGTTCAATATTCATCTAGTACTCTCTCTTGTTTCATTTGTTTGAAGGTTTATTACCATCATTCCATACTGACTTGGTTTTTTTATTTTGTTTTAGCGTTCTTCCTCTAAATTGGACGGTTGGGATGGTTGGAATACTAGCAGGCACTATTGAGGACGCATTTATAGTGTAAGTAATGCTCTTTTTCTATGTGTTTGTAGAGCCCTTTTATGATATTGAGGTTACAGCTCTTTCATTGCACGATCTGCAGCTATGCAGCTATTAGTGCGCGACTTCCGCCACATCAACCTACTGTATCAGTAAGAATGATGTTCTGCATATTGATTAAAGCTATTCGTTACCATATACGTCTTTTCCTGTTGTGAACTTAGTATCGGATAATTGGCATTTGCTTTAAGTATCCAATTTCAGACTCATTGTTTTCGCAGCAGTCTTAGCATTCACCTTTGCTTACCTTAGTTGTTTTTCTTCCATGCTTGTGATTTTTTATTGAAAATGTTCCAGCAGCCCAAAGTATATTTTCCGCTGTTGAACCCAACAAAGCCTATATCCGGTATAAAATTGGCAAAGTACGGAGAGGTAAGTGACCAGCAGTTTCTCTACCTTATCACATATATGATGAAAAATTACATTTCAAAGATAAATGATAGCTCGTTTTTATGTATTACATGAGTTCTCGCTAACATTCCGTTATTTGATTGTCAAAACCACTAATTGGCTCAATTAGTGGTTTAATGATTGCAGTGATGATATCAGAGAATGCTGTTCTAATGCCCTGGACAGGCTTCACAAGCAATACGGATGGAAGGTACTCGCTGTCAATTGCTTGCTTCAGAAGCACTGTGAAAACTTGTTCCATGATTACTACATAGTCAATACAGGAGCCGCTATCAATTACTTTCTAATTTTTTTGATTTTCTTCTTCTTCATCTGTAGACTGTAGAGGTGACCGTACCAGAGATTGAGGTGATGCGCCTGGCACATTATACAACAATCGGATCTGAGTGTACCGCTTCGCTCAGTAATTCTCTGGAAAATCTGTACGTTGTTGACCACCACGGTTTTCTCTCAACTCTCCTTTTCTAACAGACAAGAAATCCAAAATGCTGACATAACAAACTCATAAAAATAGGGATTACAAAGAGTTGGGATGGGATGTAAGGGTAGCACTTGCGGTCTACGGTTCCTTCAGCAGTAAAGAGTATATAAAGGCTCAAAGAATCAGGTAATCTTTGGAATATATCGTGAACTGCTAAATCAAACCTCAAACGCGTAATTTACGTCCCATATATTCAATTAAGAAGTGTTCTGTATATCCACAGGAACCGGCAGATGCAGTTTCACATGAATATATTTGCTCATGCAGATGTGATTGTTTCTCCGACAACAGGGTAACAGACTGATTTTATGAGATAACACATGAAACATCAGATGACATTTTGAAACATGTGTTTTCGATTGAATCTAATTACGGACATAACAGGGTAACTGCCTACTCGATTTTCGATGATGCTCTACAAACCGGCGAGCTTGACTACATAAATGGAGGTATGAACGAATCTACACGCCCGGAGTCACAGATCCGCTACTTAAATCAGCACCATCGATCAACTGCTTTCATGTTTTGATAACATCAGTAGAGTGATGTGATTACAAAAGCGCTTACAACGGAATCTAATCAGTTTTCATTTACGCAGCTGCGCTTGTTCGATACTCTATAGCAGGAAACTTTCTGGGGCTACCGGCAGTGAGTGTTCCGGTATGCATGCATGCACGCATCATCTCGTCATTACTATACACAAGCTTTTAATTACTTGAGATTAATATTAAGTGGATAATTTTTGTGTGTTTGTGTTTTGTTTCCTTGATAGGTTGGATACGACAGAGCAGGGCTGCCTATTGGTCTGCAACTGATAGGGAAGCCATGGTCTGAGGCAACGCTTATTCACATAGCCTTTGCGCTGCAGGAACTGTATGTCTCTGAGTACAGAGAGCCGGAAGTTTACTACGATGTGCTGCACCAACAAAAATAATTAAGTTTTGTAATTAAGGAAGAGTTGGCAGGTACTTAGCAGCAGATTGTTCAATTTGTAATGGTAACACCAAGACCAAATCGTATTGATGAATAGTGAGTGTTTGTGTGTTTATAATTATGAATTAAGTTAATAAAATGAGAACTATTTGTGTGTGTTTCGAAGAAAAAGGTGGAAGAAATTATATATAACATGGTAAAAAAAAAAAAAAAAAAAAAAGGAAAAAAGGTAATCCGACCTACCGGATTCGAACCAGTGACCTAAGGATTTCTGTTATATTACAACTACAGTCCTCCGCTCTACCAACTGAGCTAAGGTCGGTTTGATGTTAAAGAGCAAGGCTGTTTCTAATTATCCTTATATCAAGAATATTGATAAGCCTCCCTCATAACTGAAATAGTGTTGGTTCGTTTCCCACCCATAATTAGAAATTAGGGGTGATTTGACCATAAAAAAAAAAAAAAGGAAATAGGGGCGATATTCAAAAAATTGAATAAAAAATAACGAAATAATGTTTTCCATTTTTATTTCAAATTTTAAAATCAAATTACTTTTCAATTTGGAATCTGAATAAGTTTAGAAATTTTAAAACCTAATTCCAAAATTCATATATTTTACAAAGATTTGAATATCATGGCATTTGATACATTCCGATGTATAAATTCATTTAGTTTGTGGTATAAAATCTCTCTCTCTCGCCGAAAGAACAAACCCTAGCTTTTGTCGCTGACGCTAATCTCAGCAACTCCCTAACTATGAGGGGTGGTTCCTTTATATTTCTTTAGTCTTTATCTATCTTCTTTACTTTGACATTTTGGTGCCCTTATCTGAGCTTTTGTCACACCTTATCCACGAGCTCATCACAAATCCATGCTTTATACCCCTTTTTACTCAGTTGTCAATTCTTGTCTCAAAGTCTTCAACTATGACCCCCTACTTTTGGCCCATCACGTCTCTCCTCAGCAGCACACTAGTGTTGTGGTTTTAAAGTCACATTTTGTACTATTTGATAAGATTATGACTGCACAAGTAGCTCTCCTCACTTCTATTTTTCGTTCATCCAGTTGTTATGTTGGTTCGTTTTGTACCGTTTGATACATAGGATGAGACGGAATAGAGTGGGACGAGGAGTTCGTCCTATATTTGGTGCGTCTAAAACGAGTGGAATGCGCTGTTCATAGAACGAGTTTTGGGTGAATTTTCGTTCCGCCTCACCCCTTGGAACGACTCATTCCACATCCGTGAAACACAAAATTATAACATTTTAAGACAAAAATACCCCTCTCCCATTGTCTCTTTCATCAGATCTCAACCTCTCTGTCTCCTTCCTCCTCGCTTCCATCCAAGCCCTAGTTTTCCACGGCATCTCTCAATATTCAAAAAATGGGGAAGCCATCCAAAGGCAAGAAATTAAGAATTTGGGGAAGGGAATGGTCACCCCCGTCCAAATCGCCTTCATCGTTGACCGATACCTCTACGACAACAACTACTTGGTAACCCGCTCTCTTTTCAGAACCAAAGCTTCATCCCTCATCGCCAAATCGCCGATTCGAGAGGTACCTGCTTGGTTTTTCCTGACAATTTGTTCAAAATCGGTCTGAAAGATTTCTTATTTGTCTGATTTGGATTTGAGTTTTTCTGTTTTTTGTAGGTGTCGAAGAGTTTGCTGAGCGTGATGAACGCTTACAATGTCGACGGAAGCCTCGTAGTCTCTGCACCTCCGGCTATGGCTCCGCAATCATTTAATCTTTTGGTTCCGTTTCGTCCAATGCGTACCAAACGCATAACGAAACAACTATCATGTTCCGTCCTATGCATACCAAACATACATGGAACCACCGTTCCGTCCTGTCTAATCCCATTTGCATACCAAACGACACCTTTCTTGACGGTGGCCTTGCTTTAGTGTCATGTGGTTTTAAAGTGCATTTTGCACTATTTGATAAGATTATGACCGCACAAGTAGCTCTCCCTCACTCCTATTTTTCGTTCATCCAATCGTTCTGTTCATTCATTTTCTTTAACGGTGGCCTTGCGATGGCGGCCCAACTGATTTGGTGGAGGTGGTTGCCTTCAGTCTCCAAATTTAAGAAACCGATCAGCTAGAACCTACTTCTCCAACTGATTACCTAACGATTATATACCAATATTCAAATCCAAGTTCTAGACGCGGGGTGATTTCAATTGTTTTGGACTACGAATTTAACACAAGTAATCGTAATAATCATCAGTGTCAAGTGTACTTTCCCACTGCTGGAACAATTTTCCCAGCAACCAAACAGATATCACATAACAAAAAATTACCAGGAAAACAAAAACGGATCCATAAAATAGAATTGAGGACAAAGCCTTACTAACAAATCGAACTTATATTACTTGAAAGTAAAGGTACAAATTGCATCAATACTAAATGCTACCATGAAAAACAATTAACCCTAATTCCCAAAATATCGACATGAAATTCCCGATTTAACCCCCGAAACCGTAGAGGGTCCTTCCTTGCCTCTTGAGAGCATACACCACATCCATGGCGGTCACAGTCTTCCTCCTCGCGTGCTCGGTGTAAGTCACGGCATCACGAATCACGTTCTCCAGAAAGATCTTGAGCACTCCTCTGGTCTCCTCGTAGATCAGACCGCTGATACGCTTCACGCCACCTCTACGAGCGAGACGCCGAATCGCAGGCTTGGTGATACCCTGGATGTTGTCCCTCAGAACCTTCCGATGTCGTTTCGCCCCTCCCTTGCCCAAGCCCTTGCCTCCCTTCCCTCGGCCTGTCATTTTCTCGGGAGAATATTTTGGTTGAGAAAGTATGATTTTTGGTGGGGTGGTTGCGGTTTTGGGTATTTAAATTGTTGGGGTTAGGGGTTTGGAACTTTGAAAGGTTGGCGGGGTTGATGTTGGCCGTTGGATGCAGGTGCTCATCGAGGGCTTGAGAGCATCGATCCGCGTCATGTTGTGAAAGTGGATTTCTGTCGTTGATGGTGTGTAAATCTACGGTTGAGAGGGATTCGCCTTTGGTATGGCACGGATTGTGCTTTTTAGCGTCAGTTGGCTTGGCGGCGTTTCAAAGGCGAGCCCAAGAGCGCAGAGGGATTTGGGGTTTGAAATTTGAGTTTTATATTTTTAGTTTTTTTAATTATCGCACTACGCGATTTTGATCATTTTCAATATTTGAATTAAAATTTTTAATTTAACTGAGAGAATTTTAATTTTAATTAAGATATGTTCAATTTAATTATATTCAATCTTAGCTTTTAAATTTAATGTAGTTAAATATTAAATAAAACTTAAAACTTATTTTAAACCCAACCATTGAAAAATGATTGAGTTATTTTTTTATTATTTTATTTTAATAAACAATATTATCTACATTAAGTGGGAGGGGTTGATTTTGTCTCGCAATAGGCTAGCAATAATCTAGTTTAAATTCGTATTTGACGAGAATCGAACCTAAAACCCTTATTTACCAGTAGACCGTAGTATTAAATGGAAAGTTAGTTTAAAACCTAAATTTTGATAGGCGGGCCTTTTAACTCTGATCTAAATTGTAGGTTAAATTAGCCCAAATTTTAAGTTTTAACCCCTAACTTATTTTATGTCTAACTTTTTGAGAAAAATTGGGTTGGTTTAATATCTAAATTAAGTTCTTTCCCAATGATTTGAGATGGTCTTAGACCAGATATGGCTTCACTTTTATGGTGATTTTGCTTCACCCTTTGGTGGTGACCTGGGCTTCGCATTCGTCTTGAAGCAAAGAGTCGGTTACCGGACTGGTTTTCTGTTCTCTCCAGATGGTCTCCCTGCTTCACTTGCTGCAAGTTTGTTTTTTTTTTCGTTGGTTTTCCCAGAACTTGTTTCAGCCTTTTTACTATCTGCAGTAGTTTTTCTTTAGTTTGCTTCGGCTAGTGTTCGTACTTCATTTGTACCCTTTTTAATGAAGTTTCATGCTTCAGAAAGCAAAGCACAAAGCACGTTTTCGGGCTTGCTCACATTGAGTGCATAACAAAAGGAACTATCTTCATAAATATGTACATTGTGCGCAATGACAACTGCAAAAACATTTGCAAAGAGAAGATGTACCATGCCTTGCCTGCACACTTGTACCAACTCACATGCCCATGAGGACAAGAAGATCCTCGGCCCCTACGTCCCTCCGATCCTTTGCAGCCTTCCCCTGGAAAGCTTCCTTTGCAAGTTTCTTCTTTTTGTCTTGCAACTCTAGTATCCTCTCTTCAATGCTGTCTCGAGCAACAATCCTCACAATCTTCACATCTTCCTTCTGCCCAATCCGGTGAACGCGATCCATAGCCTGTTCCTCAACTGCTGGGTTCCACCATGGCTCCAACAAATACACTCTACTTGCAGCTGTAAGGTTTATACCTGTTCCTGAAGCCTTGAGACTTGCAAGCAAAACTGTGGGTGCATCTTGTCCCGTCATCCCAAATTCTTTGATTACTTGTGCCCTTTTCTTTGCATTCATGGACCCATCTAACCGCAAAGTCTTAAAACCAGCTGATTTGAGTGGCTCTTCAAGATATATCAGCATCTTTCGGAACTGGGAAAACACTACTGATTTCGTAAGTGGGTTTTGCTCCCTCGATGCAACAAGAAGTTTTAAGAGAGCATTTACTTTTGAAGACACGGTTGCTTTCGAGGATGCTGTGTTGTCGCTGTCCGAAGCTGTTTGAGGGGCTGAGAACAGATCGGAATGTGATAAAGCATGGCGGCAAAGGGGACAGCAGGGCTTTGCGCGCTGAAGGGTTTTCAGAATACAAGCTTGGCAAAAAATGTGAGCACAACAAGTAATAACAATATCTGTTGGCGGAGAAATGCAAATAGGACAATCAAAATCTTCACCGTCTTGCAGCACCTCAACAATCTTTTTCAGCAGCTCAGGGTTCTTGGACGCATCTGCGTAGAATTAAGTTCAGAATAACATAACATGTGAAACAGAAATTTGATATTAACTCAGAACATTGCAACTAACATTGCACTAAAGAATTATGTTACATGATACCAAAATGCATATTCCCAAGATACTTCATTAGTAGCTGAACATATCAACATTGAGCTTCTTTCGAACTTGTCATACATACTTATATTTGAAAGGTATATGATATCTAATAGGATTATAGGAAACAAATAATATGGTGGCATATGCACAGGTGAGCGTCATTCATTACATTAAAAATTTACTAAGTCACATGACACTACAAAAATTGAGCAGCAGCAGCTCAAAGTACTAATAAATTTGAATAATAAATCTAAAAACCAAACACAGACACCAGTTTCCAAAGGGTATGGCGGAAACATATTACTAATAAGAGAGTTGGACGTGAAATTCAGGAGCTACCAATTTGGGAAAGCGAGTGTACAAGTACTGAACAGAGGGTGAATCCAAGAAGGTAAATAAGTAGAACAGAATCCTGACAAACTTAAATAAGGTTGACTGATGAAAAAAAAATTATGACTGAGAGAACTGTAAATAAATACAGCAGTGAAAGGGTTCCATTGAGCCAAAGATACTACGCATGTGAGTGAAGTTGCATAGAACAAATATAAACAAGATGCACAATTATAACATCCTTTCAAATACCTTCAATATTGTTCGAAGGGAGAAGTGATTTGAGATCAGAAGGGCACAATGCCACATCAGTACAGATCTGCCGAAGTCGTAAGATGATGCTAAGTACAGTGGAATAGTTGCGCATTACACTATCAGCATCAATGTAACTCCTCACAACACTCTTTGCTTCTCCTTCCATCTGATCATACAGTTCACGTTCTTCACCAGAGAGTTCCACATAACAAGTCTCTAAAGTTTTCGGAGGTAATCCAATCAGCCCTTTGTCTTTTATTCTTCGCAAAGAAATGGTTTCCATTAGAACCTGAACTATCACAAAACGTATTAGGAAGTTGGATTTTTGGAAAAAAATAAAAAATAAAACAGATAACATGATTCTGTGTAACTAATTTTTGGTTAACTGTTAAATAATAGGGGGGAAAAAAAGTAAGAAATAAAGCACCAAAAGGTATGCATGAAAATTAAATCCAAGGACTATTAAGGTATTTGATTAGCTTTATAAAGAAAACAAAGTCTTGGAGCTAAATCATGGATCAACCATGTCATCAAACATATCTTTCTGATCATCTAGTACTTATTTCAAAGGAAAGAAATTTGCTATCCCAGACCCCTAATAACAAATTGAAGGTATGCGGGTGAGCGGCCTAATGAAGTTTGGTTATATTAGTTAATGAGATACTAAAGTTCATTTGCTAAAGAACAATTCAAGTAACTCATCTTGACTTCAATCTAGATGCCGTATTGTGGGGTCTAGAGCGAAACCCAACCTTACCAAAAGCTTTTAATAAAAATTAAAACAAAAAGTGAAATAAAATACAATGTCAAGAACATTCAAAACAGAACCCATGCACACTTCAGAAGTCAGATACACATCCACATTAGACCTTGTATAATATGTGGAAGAGACCATAAATAACGTAAGGATGATTCTCAAGTAGAAAGAAAATAATAATAATGATCTATTATGTTCAAATCTTGTCCCAGCACAGAGAACTGCATGTAATGCAAACTTCCATTGCCTGCATCTGTTTATAGTTTATAACAAAAAACGAAAAGAAAATAAAGGTAGAATGGAATTACCTGCAGCCGTAAGAGCCCTTTTTGGTTGCCATGAGCAATTGGGCGCTGCACCAAGCTTTGCCAGTAGCTCTTAATTGAAAAAGGCTCAAACCGCAAAAATGCCATCAAAGAAAACAAATCAAATGAGCTATTCTGGATGGGTGTTCCAGTAACCGCCCACCTTCGCTTAGCCTTCAAACTAGTCACAGCTTGACTTTGTTGAGCATTAACATTCTTAATCATGTGTGCCTCATCCAAAATCACCCTCCACCACTCAATCTCTTTAACAGGGGATTCCGTCCAAGAATTTTCAGTAGCCAAAATACTATATGTAGTCAACACCATATCATACTCCTTAAGCTCCTCAGCATTGCTAGTACGCTCTCCGTAGTACATATACACCTTCAGTCTACCCGGCCTGGTGTGTTCTCCTAGTTGTGTTACCCAAGTCGAAAATACAGAAGGTGGGCACACAACTAATGTTGTCTTGGTACTACAATACCCCAAAGACTTATCATCTACACTTAAACATTTTTCTTCCACATTGCTGCCAGCATTGGCATCCTCAGTTTTGCGTTTTTTCAATGACCCGGTACCTTTTTTACTTGGGGCACCCCTCTTACCCTTCTTACTAAAAGAAACAGACAGAGACTCATCCTCACCCATTTTGTTATCATCTAGTACGCTTACATCTGAACTACCATATTTATCAAACGCAATCAAAGACAGCAAAGTTAAAGTCTTACCCAACCCCATATCGTCCGCGAAAATCCCACCTCTTAGAGGCTCCGGTCGCTTATCAGTGTGGTAATTGGTCAAGACATTCAAAAAAGAACCACCTTTCTCTTCCCAAAAGGGAGGCAAGTCACCAGAATTTTCTCTATGCACCAACCATCCCAAGCCTTCTTTCTGGTGAACAAACAGCTCTGATTTGATCACTTGTTTTGGAGGTTCCAATGCTTGTAAGGCACCCTTTCTGCTCGCACTCTCCTCCACCAGCTTGAAAATCTCATCTACACTCTTGGAACCCCTCTCAGCCTTCTTCTCCTTGACAACCACTGACTCGGATAGAGTGAAAGACGCATCGGAATCGGAAATCAGCTGCAACCCAGATTGCAAAATTGCTGATTTCGCAGAGGGAAAGGCTTCAAACCTTGCAAAGATGTGAACTTGGCAAGGAATCTTGAACCTGTTGGGCTTAGAGCGCACATTGGGCACAATGCCTTCGACGGAAATCAAATTCGAGTCGATCAGGGGGGCAAGGACGGCGGCAACGGAGCGTTCGATGTGACCCACCTGACGCGTTTCGGTATTAAGGACTTTGATGGCGTTGGAATCGTAGGGATTGAGGGGTTCGCGGACAAGACCCACCATTTCTCGGCCACTGATGGTGCCTGAATAGTATTGAATTCCGACGATGCTGGCGATGACGAAGCCGAGCATGAAGGTGTCCGAGGAAGAAGAGAGTGACTGCGAGTCTTGGTCCTGGTAAGAAAGAGCGGCAAAGTCATCGGCGTCGGGCGGAGGGTCTTGCCACTGATCGAGGGACATGAAGAGTTTTACGGGATCTTCTTCCTCCATGCTTTGATGTGATTTCTTTCTACAATTTGGATGATGAATGGCGGTTTTGAGTTTAGACTCCCTAGAGTTTTCGGTTGAGGAGAGAGAGAGAGTGGGGAAGGAGTCGGTGCGTCGGCTTCTGATTCGGTGTCGCAATCGTATACTGAAGGTGATTGAAACTTTGAACGGCATCGAAAGGAGGGGTGCGGTTCAAAGAGAAAATGACACGCACCATTTAGAGCCAAGACTGTCCAAACACCCGGTACTCGGCTTCAAATGGGTAGACACGTTAAAGCATCATCTCCGATATAGAACACGAAACTTCCGAATGCAGAAATGCATGGGCGCAGAGCTTAACAGGTCGGTACGTGCCGACACTCCCATGAAATGCAATTCATTTCAGAAATATCACATTTGATTTCACATGTTTATATTTCGCATTTTTAAACTTTCTGTTTCCCTCGCATGTTAAAAGACTGTATTCCTCTGTCAACGAGGGTTGATTCAATTGGTAAGAACGTGTGAGGATGATTTGGTTTAGTTGCTAAGGACGTGCTTGTGAGGATGAGTTTAACCTCACAATAAGCTTGCGATGATGTAGTTCAAATTCACCTTTAGCGAGAATCGAACCTAATACCTCTCACTTACAAATGAAAAAGAATACCTCTCACTTGCAAATGAAAAAGAATACCCATGACCAATATCTAAGGTCAAATTAAGATCACAAACTCAATAACGAATTAAGGCCTAAGACCTAAGATCGAAAGTCAAAACTAGAATCGAAGAGCCTAAGATTGAATGTAGGCTTGTCAAGATTATTTGTTGTACTTATTATTGAAATAGTGAAAGTTTGTTAACAGTTGCTTTGTGGACGTACATAGGCACATAGCTGAATCACATAAATTTTTGGTATTATTTTTCTTGATTATTTGTTTTTAATTTATGAGTTTGTTTCATTTTCCCATTAAACAAAATATTTGTGGAGCTAAAAATAATTCAAAGACTCCTGGAGCTGACACATGATTTTTATCTACACGAATTGTTGAGAATGACCCTCATTAATCAAGCGAGACACACATTCTTTCACGCGCAATTCAACCATCAAGAAGAATTGTGATGCTTAACAGTTTCTTCAAGCTCTGTTGCACTTGGCAAGGAGATAAGACAAATGAATTAAATGGAGAATTAATAATTAATTCATATCTTTAAGTTTTCTTCATCGAAGACCAATTCCTTCAAGCAAGGAATTAGAATCAAATCCAACCAAGGATCCTACAAGATAATTCTAATATATGATTAATTTAATATTTAACCGGGATAATTTCCTTCTCCGTCCAACGGATGACACACCTTAGTCAATTGGATGTTGATACGTGGTGTGAGATCCCTTACACCATGGCTGGCCCTAGCTTCTATAAATACCCAATTTTACACTAATTTTTGGTAAGCTTTTGCGACTCAATTAAGCTCTGAACTCTTTATTTTCATATAAACTAACTTAATCATTAGAGATCCATTGACCAACCCTCCCAACACTTCTTAGGTGCGTAGTTTTGGTCTTTGATCAAATGTGCTTAATTGTTGTGTAGATACAATTTCTTCAAAATTAAAGACGATAGACTTTCGCTACCACATGATTCACAAACCACCCCATACTTACACAAAACTTCAAAATGTGCATTCAAAGTTCTTCGTGATGAGTGATTTATAAGTGTGCAGATTTCAGTCCATACACATGTGGAGGTATTGCTTCTTGTAAGAAATTTTGATCCAACACCAACGGAAAAAAACTTGCTTTACAATGAAAGCACTGCGTCCCAAGTGGTTAGAGTCTTCATCTTCAACCCAAAGCTTGTCAAGCTCAGATCCTCCCATCTGTTATGTCACACCTCGATCCCAACATATGTCCAGGATCGACACGTGACGTCATCATGCATCTGTAAATCCCACTGACTCGACCTCCGAGATATGTACAAAGCATAATTCAAGATTCGAATTGCGTAGTAATTTTCGTATACTTTTTGGCTGCATCTAATCTCCTCGTTAGACTGCCAACGTACCCTAAAAAGGGATCAAGACATTTGTAGTTCACCATTCACTACACTCCAACATTTATCACAGTACGTTCAAGCAAAAAAGCATAGCATTCCCCAATCATTTATTAGAACTTAACAAGCATGAAATTACTAGGTCCAGAGCTGCATAACAAACCCACATGACATTCAAGATTTCCTTTCCATCCATAATATAAATCACTATGTTTTCAACATGATACCTCAATCCACAACATGTAACATATCAAAGAACCAATGGAGCACAATATTATTCTCAAACCACATTGATCTACTAATCTATTCAGAATAATAACAATCATATCCAACAACACTCCACAATCACGTCAATTAATCAATTCCATGAATCAAAGATGCACGATATTAACATCTGACTCGTTAATTAATCAATGAAATAACAAATCATTTCATGAATATAATTAAAGAACTCTACATAATTCCCTACTTTGATTATAAGTAATAACATGGTAAATTTCATTTATATTCACAAGAGCTAGTGTGGTTAATCCCCATTCACTCGAATCTAGGGTTCCAGTCTAACTTATGAAAATGAGTAAGAGCAAGGATTCCGAACCACTTAACAAAATCCAACTAAAATATGGCACCTACCGAAATGTTCCAAGTACCGCTAATCCTCATCACCTTTGATATGCGTATGTTCTCTCATTGCAGATATACCAAGCAGAACCATATGCATAATCTAAGCGTGCAGGCAGTGATCACCCATCGCGGATATACCAAGTATGATCACCCCTGTAGTACGTATGGTCTCCCATCATATATAACCAAGCAGGACCACATCCTAACTCTACGTAGTGATCACCCATCACGGATATACCAAGCATGATCACTCCTATAATGTGTATGATCCCCCTATTGCGGATAAACCAAGCAGAACCATAGTCATAGTCTAATAACGTAGGCAGTGACCACCCATCATGGATATAATATACTAAGCATGATCACCCCTAACAGTCCCCGATCGCGGATATACCAAGCAGGACTGTATCCTATAGCTCTAGGTAATGATCACCCATTGCGAATATACCAAGCATGATCACTCCTAAAATGCGTATGGTCCCTATTGCAGATATACCAAGCAGAATCATAAACATAGTCTAATCGTATAGGTGGTGATCACCCATCACAGATATAACAAGCATGATCACCCCTGAAATACGTATGGTCCCCTATCGCGGATATACCAAGCAGGACCATCCATGTACCACTGCTACTTGATGCTAGTAAATTCATCACACATTATACATAATTGTACGCATACACGCTATCGATTCCACGTATCAACCAAGCATCTAATCATATGGAGCACAACACAAGGAATTCCCTTTATTACTATTTCTACTAAAAATCTAATAAAGTACCTGACTCATCTTCTGACTTTCTTCTATCTCATGCTAGATAGTAATGCTAAGTTCATATAGGTATTTAGCTGGCAATCATATCCAAATAATTATCAAACAATATTTAGATCCCATAACAATACAAATAATAAAGAATAATACTTATAATGGAGTTTCCCTAGAACCTCCTACCTCGTGTTTGACTACCTTTGTCAACACAAGTCCTCCAAACTTTCTAGCACAACACCTGAATCTAAACCAATTTACAAACGCGTCAACAAATGAAAACAAACACAAGTAAACGCATATTAGCAAGCATGGAAGTGAGTAATTACAAATTATTAACTTGTGTAGCATAGACATTATTTTAGTACAACTTTTACTTCAAATAACAACACTAATATAAAGCAAAAGTAATTTAAAGAAAAACAGGACAATGATTGAGTACTATAGAAACAATACTCCTCCACAAAAGCTGCATAAAAACTGCTTTGATCAACCAAATTTAAACTCACTTTTGAACGCTCAATCCTTAACTAAATGGTACAAACTTAAATGCTTTTGGAGACTTGTTTGTGTAATTTATAACCACATAATGTTGGTAGAAAACGGAGCTCTAAATTGGAAGTAATGCCAACTATAAAATGGATCCCAAAACTAGAAATGCAGAACTTGCCGTCCGCAGCTTTGTGACTCAAATTTGAACATAGTTTTTGGTCAACCAAAACTCAACGGAATTAAGAGAAATCAGATGGGTTTTGATCATGGACATGTCTATTTTCAAAACACACAATATTAGATCAAAAGGAACTCACAAGGACATAGAAATCAAGAGCCAAAGTAGGCTACTTGAAACAAAGTTTCTCTCTGCAAAATGGTTAAGTTTTCTGCAATGCAAAACCCGTACTCGTTTAATCCAATTTACAATTTCAGGGCAATCCCAAACTATCCAGGAATCATATTTAACTTCTATTTCAATGTGTTAGCTTACCTATATCATGCTTAATTCTTCCTCTTTTAGCCAAAGACTACAAACAATTCAATAAAATTAATGTACCTTTCCTTGTTCTTGTCCTGCCCTCCAAACTCCTCCAAAGTTGTTCATCCATCTACCACTTAGCTACTAAGCTCTTAAATCAACGTCACCACCACAACTCCTCAACAAGAACCCCAGAATTTCGAGTTAAACACATAAATCTCAAACTTATTCGAAAATGAAACCTGAAATTCGAAAGATCCGCTTACATATCCTGGAAGCGCATGAAGAGAGGAGTATTTTTTCTCTTGGGTCGAGACCTATCTCCGGCGGCGAAAAAAAAAAACCACGAAAACCGTCGAAGCTTCTGGGCTTCAATATATGGGCACGCTTGGTTCCAGCATATGGGTTTGGTATCAAATTGAAGAGGGCTTCGCTACGAATACATAGACTTCGACCTTGCATGATTTCGTTGCCGTACGAGAAAGCTATGATTAAATGAAGTTTTTTGGAGTGAAGGAGAATTAAAGAGGAGAAGAACGCAGCAGCAGAGCTGCTGGTTTTGCACGCAGGGAAGAAGAAAAAGGAAGCCATTGGCTTCCAGAAAGTTCCGCTTGAATTTATCAAAATGTCCTTTTATTTAGAAAATTCGTAATTTTTTTGTTCGAATTTCAAACTTCATTCCGATTACGCTTACTAACATGTAATATCTAAATATGCCAAGAACAGTAGAAAAGTTTGAAAGAATCAAATACATCTATGTAAAATCCCGTTTAGCACAAGAAGGGCATTTTCATCTTTTAAACATTTTAAGAAAAAAATAAATGCCGCACATATAAACTCGTCAAAACTAAGAATACAAAATACCTAATTTTAAATAATTCCAGGGACAAGGTTTCACATGCTGAGTGTGAATTAATACAGTAATATTCCTTACATTAAAAACATAAAATAAAAGCAAATGCAATCACTTAATATTTTGGTTAGTTATATTTCAATCCACGTTTAAGTGACAGTTATTACATTTAACTTCTACGAACGGTGTGTTTGATATAATTTATTATAATTGATTCATTATGTATCTTAGTCTAAATCTCTCGCTCTTTAGTTTTAAAATATTGATCCAAAAAGAAAATTTTAAAAATCAAATGCAAAAGTGTAAGGTTGAGAACTTTGGTCTAGTGATACAACTCTTCACTTATAAGTGAGAGTTCTTATGTTCAATTCTAACCAAAAGCGAATTTAAACCACATTATTGTTAGTTTATTGTGAGGTTTAGCCAACTTCCTCACCTCCTTAGTGTAAATAATACCGTTTGTTAAAAAAAAAAAGTTGAGAACTTTTGAATCTCAAAGGTGTTTACAAACTAAGAATCGAAGTAAGCAAAAATCTAGTTACTAATTGTTAGGAATCGAAATAAAAAAATGTAAAAAAAAAAGAAAAAAAGAAAAAGGGATGGGTGAATTCCAAGTTCCAAAAGCATGTTCAAAAAAGGAAAAAAAGAAAGAAAACTAATGAAAATGACTTAAAAATTTTAGGTTTTAAATTTGAATCAAAATGACAAAAATGTGTTGTAAGTAAATAATACTAAAAGTAAATTTTTAAAATAAAAATATCATTTTCGTTAAAAATAAACAATAACAGAAGTGGTTCTTTCAAGCTTTCAAAGAAGAATTCAAAAGCAAAAAGAACATTTTTGTAATTGGGGTGGGGGCCATACCCTCCATCTCCCACGGGTTACGTGCGTTCGCGTTGAATTCCGAAAAGGCAAAAGAGCAAAGCCGCATTCTTTGCTTTCAGTAGGCGAAAATGAAAATGCGCGCCCTTTTCTTTCCTCTTTTTCGTCCGTCCCTTTTTTCCATTTTTTTATTTTTTATTTTTTTTGTGAAAAAAAATATATATATATATATATTTATTTACTTCCTTTCCTCCACTCTCGTAAGAAAATTAATACTTTTATATTATAATTTTGTGAAAATTACAATAATAATATATGACATCTGAATTCAATTCCCTTTCTCAACTCCAACTCTGATATCTCAGGTGATCGTTGTCGACCACAATTCCCGCACCCTCGAAAGTCCTCTATCTCTCTCCTTCTATCTCTCTCTCTAAAAAAAATTCACTTTCTCAATCGCTAGGGTTTCATCGTCTTCTTCTTCAGGTACTTTCACCTTGTGGATCTAAATTGGATTTCTTTGAATTGCATCCTCCATTTCTAGATCCCACTCTTTTTCTATCGATTTTTTGTTTGATAGTTGATTTCTCAGCATGTATTTATTTCTTTTGGAATTGTTTATTTGTGGCCTGCAAATACATTGTTTCATATTTTCGTTCTGCTTGAAGGAGGTGTGGTGGTTTTTCATAACTTATTGTTTGAATTGTTTATTTGTAATTATTATTGCAATATTATGATTCTTTGTGACCGAAAGGTCACCATTTTGAGTCGTGAAAACGGCTTATTTGCAATGCAAGGGTAGATGGACATTTTCTCCAAGCCCTGCAAAGCGGGAAGCCTTGTTGGCTTGGGGCCGCCCTTTATTTGTGGGAAAATTTGAATACAATATAGGTGGAGAATTTTGACACTCATCATTAAATCTGGTATAGCAGCTACCTGGTGATCATTGTTTAGTTACCAGTTTTTTCATATTGATGGATCATTTGGGTTCACGTACATTTTCCGGTTCTGCTGTTTACAAGGATGCTACATTCCCACAAGATAGATATAACTTATAGGGCGACTTAAAAGATAGAATAATAGGATTATTGCTGTTCTTATTGTAATTTTCATATTATTCTCGTGCGTCATATAATCATGGAGAACTGGTGGCTTCTATTGTATCTTGTATGCTAACCGTTTTGTACTTCAATCATTTAGACTCTTAAATCCAAGTTTAATCTTGCTTTGTTTACTTGATGTTCTCTGTGCTTGCTAATCATTTTGTTTCTCGTAAATCAATTCCTTTCACAATCAGGTTTCCTATACATAATCTATATGTTGCCGAGCAATTTCATGTTTTTAGTTCTGGACAAGGAGCTGTATTATAATCTGGGACAAGGAACGATATTGGAAGTGGAGAGTTAAGTCATGATGGTTGATTTGGGCCTTTCACTTGCTAGGTTTGTGACCGCTGCGGATGGTTATGGTCCATTTCTCTTAGGGTGGCTGGTCACTGGGTCATTCGGGCTTGTAGCTATCATCTTTGCTTTTCTTAAATGGCAGAAAAGGACATCTCTAAAATGGGTTAAAGCTGCAGCTAGAGCAAAAAAGAAAGTCTGGAAGAAGCTAAAAGTTCCTTTATCACATCATACGTGGATCGAAGATATTACTAATGGTGAACAGCCATCCACATGTTGTGTTTGCTTGACTTCTTTGGTGTTTCTTCAATACCTAGGTACAAAAGCCTCATCGCGTACTCCTGTCCATCGTTGCTCTGTTTGTGGTGTAGCAGCTCATTTCTATTGTTCCCAGTACACAGTAAAGGATTGCAAGTGCATGGCACAAGCTGGTTTTACCAATGTTCGACACCACTGGTCAGAAAGATGGGTTAATATGCATGATAATCCTGAGATATCGGCCATTTGTTTTTATTGTGATGAGCCATGTGGTGTTCCTTTCCTCGATGCTTCTCCTACATGGCATTGCCTATGGTGTCAGCGCCTCATACATGTCAGATGTCACAACAAAATGGCAAAAGAATATGGCTGATGCTTGCGATTTGGGTAGTCTTCGGAGGATTATCATTTCCCCTCTGTGTGTGAAAGAAGTTGGCCAATATAATGGACGTGGAATGCTAAGTTCATTCACAGATGAAATAATAACCTCATCTGTTTGTGGCCAGTATAGAAGAAAACGCCACCACTGTAAGCATGGTAGTCAGGCAACTAATGGTGACTCTGCCACTGATGCATCTCCGGATTATCTGTTCAATGGATTTACTGGTATAAAGAGATCCCGTAGTGAGAAGAGTTTTGACTACTTAAAGAAGAATGATAGGACACTGAGTTTGAAGGGCAACCATAATGGGTTTTTCCAGAATAAGGGGGACACTGTCACCTATGGTCAAATTAAGAGATATAAAGTAGTTGATTTGCCACATGATGCAAGACCTCTTTTGGTCTTTATCAATTCCAGAAGTGGAGGTCAACGTGGGGCTTCTTTAAGGAGAAGGCTGAACATGCTGTTGAATCCTGTACAGGTAATGTTGTGCCTTTTTAGCATCATTCACTGTGATGGATTTTAACTTTACATTGTTTTAGACGGGCAACAAAATGTGATCTTTGACGTCTAATGTTCCCTTGCTGTGTTGTAGCTCTTAATTTGCGTCAGATAACTTACAGTCTGCTGTAATTCATATACATATTTTTGTTTTCTGAATGAAACTTGATACTTAGTGACCTCGAGAAAATTCATTATGTCTGCCTTTGTTTCCCTTCCTTTTTCAAATTATATATGATGCCATGGTTGCATCATGGTTTTCTGGGCACAAGGTTGCCCAAATGTAGTAGCTGTGGGTTTTGTGGTACAGTTAAGGGAACAATGAGTGTAGTTGGTCACATCTTTGTATGCGTTCATTTGAATGTACGTAGTTGGTTTGATATTTGGGGCTATAGTTTGCATTGTCATTATTATCACTTGTGTAACTTCTATTGCTTGTCCAAAATATAAGCACATAGATGCAGCATTGCATCTTTCTCCTAGGAGAATTGAGACGGGGTTTACCCTTGACCACCTTCTCTCTTCCTTTGCCTTTATTTTCCCTCATACAATGAAACAAATAAGATATGATATTAATAGCTTGATGTGAGGCTTAGAATAGTCATAAGGAGGAAAATGCAGAACAATAAAATTTCTCTTGTTGCTTGGAGTCCGAGTTGCATTCAAAGTTTTTGTACTTTTCCCATGCTGGATTCAGATTAATTTTTTTTAATTCAGTTGTTTGGATCTTCTATTTTGAGAGCATAATATTAGTAGTATGTCTTCCAATATTAAATTGCCAATTTTTTTTTTTTTTAATTCAGTGATTGATATGTGTGTTATAATTTTTAATTTTTTTTTATTTTTTATTTTTTGCATTTTTCATATCATGGTTTTTAGGAGTAACTAGCCAAACTATATTTCTAAATTGCAGGTTTTTGAACTGAGTTCTTCCCAAGGGCCCGAGGCAGGTTTGGAATTGTTCAATGATGTGCAATATTTTAGAGTTTTGGTATGTGGTGGAGATGGTACTGTTGCATGGGTTCTTGATGCGATCGAGAGGCATAATTTTGAATCACCCCCACCTGTTGCTATTCTTCCCCTAGGTACGGGAAATGATTTGTCAAGGGTGTTGCAATGGGGAAAAGGCTTCTCTATGGTTGATGGACAAGGTGGCTTAACCGCGCTGTTGCATGACATTAACCATGCTGCAGTTACCATGCTAGATCGCTGGAAGGTAAACATCAAATCAGAAGCTGATCCGAATAAAGTTCAGTCCAAGTTTATGATGAACTATTTAGGTATTTCTCTACATTTACTATTACCTAGTTATGGTTGTGGGATCTGTTTGACATTTTCTCATTTCTTTGAAAGGTATTGGTTGTGATGCGAAGGTTGCATATGAATTTCATGTGACCCGAGAAATAAATCCTGAGAAGTTCAGTAGTCAGGTACCTTCGTATTTGGTGTG